TGGTCCACTTGGATAGCTCGCTGGGTCCTCTCCAGTGCTATAGAGTAGGTCTTCTGGAGCCACTTGGGAATGGCCTCTTTAAACCACTGGTAGAAGTCAGTCAGAGCAAGAGGGCCATCCCTGGACAAAAAAGGCATAAGATTGGCTTCTATCCCTCAGCAGAAACAAGACAGAAGGCTACAGATTCTAGTTCCACTCACACTTGAAAAATGCGTACCCCACCGAGAAGCATTAGCACAACTCTCTGCATTATCTAACCCACCACCACAATGACATGGGACAGGAACCCACGAGCAAGAATATGAGCATCCTGAAGTATTTCCTGAGCCATACATCTAACTGAGACCCCTGTCTCTGCCTCTTAGAGCCCTATCTGCCTCTGTCTGGAGCTCCAGAGCCCCATAACCCCATCCAGGATCATATCCAAATCTTGACAAGACATAGTCAATTGTTTAGCCCTTCTCTCCTTGATATTACTGCACCGAGGGTTTGTCTAGACTCAAAAATTAGAAATAAGGCAGTGTGTGACCTCAAAGTGCAGTTGTTATGGAGTAACTCCAAAAACAAGCACTAAAGGGAAGGTCCTGGAAAGGTTTCTGGACCAATGAACATCTTGGTTTCACTCAACCTTCTCCAACTGGGTCAGAAGAGAGTCCATTAGCTAATGAGTTCCCACCTCTTCCATATTCTGGCACTGCTGAGATTTATCTCCCAATGAATGGCTCAAAGGGGTCACTACCTGCTTGGTAGAAAGGTCTTCATTCGATAAAGCTCTTGCAAACTGAGGTAGAGCTGGAACAGGCTCTCTGCTGTGAGCTGGGACATGCCACTGTCAATCTCACTCAGCTGCTCCTTCACATGATGTGAAACCTGCACCAGATGGAAGGAAAATGCAGGGAAACCAGTGGTGGAAGATGGGTTAGTGAGAAATGAAGAAGGATTTTCTATGTTGACTGACTGATAGAACATGCTGCCCTCAGGACTGATGTTCAAGTCAGGGGACCGCACCTGATTAAGGGTAGCACAAAAAGAGGATCAAGGGAGTAATACAGTAGAAACCTGCTCACCCCCATTTTATGGGTGAGAAAGCAGAGACCCAGAGAATTTCAGTGACTTATCCAATGTACAGACTAGCAACTGAGTCAGCGCTAGAGCCAGATCCCAGCCAGGAGTCTCACTCCTTTGCTACTGCCACTAGGCACAAGGCCTAGATTCAAACTTGCCTCCCTTGAGCTCCTGGTTAGTCCCATGATCTGGCCTTTGGGACTAGGGAATGGGAGTATGGAACAGTCCCTCCTTAAACACCCAAGGGCTGCCCATGACCCCACATCCAGGGTTGGAAATGCAAAGGGTTTTTCACCATGACTGCTCATTTTCTATGAACCCTTGATGGCACCTGACACCACAGAGCATCCCCATCCTCTGCAAGGGGAACCCAACAGCTGGCTAAAAGTCTCAGAACCACTCTATTCTCTGCTGTTCTGACTGGAAAACAAGGAAGGCTTATTCACCAGGTCCTGCAGCTCCAGGTAGGCCACGGAGAAGAGATCCACTCTCAAGGTGCTGCAGGGGAGAAACAAGAGATTCAGACATACAATTCAAGGACAGGCCTGTCAAACCCACTACACAGAACCCTCTCCTGCCCAGAAGTCCTAAGCCCTGCATCGTGAACTACAGCAACCTCAGGGACTACAGCTGGTAAAGATCATGTGGAAACTGGTCATTAAACTCTGTCTCCTGATATGATGTATAATGCACCACAAGGGATTGGTTCCAGCCTCATTCTTGATTCCACCATATATTTATAGATTTGTGTTTTTCTTTGGCATCCAGTAATGAGCTTGGGTGTTGTAAGCTCCTGTACTCTAACCAGCTGTTGAAGCAAGCACAGGGTGGGGGTTGTGGGAACAGCCTACGTCAGCCACTTACTTGTTGAAGAATTTGTTCCAAATTTTGCGGCATTGCTGGAGGTCACAGTTCACCTCCTCAAGAAGCCTGACCAGGGCTCTGCCATTCTCCTCCATGCCCTAGGAAGGAAAAGAGAGGAAGACACAGCTTGGTTTGGGTACTCAATGATTTCTTGGGGTAGCAGTCCATCGAGCAATGGCCCTCATTCCTGTTAGTTTGGGCACCTTGCTGTCATGAATGGGTTTACTCCACAACATCCCAATGAGGTATCTCAGCCCCATTTTATCAGTGGGGAACTGATACACATAACATGGCGAAGCAACTTCTCCTGATTCCACAGCGAATATATGGCAGGATTTGGGGTTGAGCACACATCTCCAGAGTACTAGACCAGGGTTTTTAACCATAAGCCCATCCTGGGAGGAGAACGTGTGGGAAAGCCAAAAGAGCAGTAACCTGGGATATTCTCTGAGTGACTGCCCCATTCTGTGTTATATGGTGGATTGCACCAAGTTAGCATGACCAGGGAGCAGAAAACATGCAAGTGCTGTCCATGTCTTGTAGGGATGGCCAGTTGCCTTCTGCCACAGCTGTGGTGGCTCAGCCCTTTCTGAGAAAGCACCATCCCAGTAACCCCCATTCCCACCCAGCAGGTCCCTCAGTTGGAGCTCAGTACATTGCTGCAGACAATGGAATGGGGCTCTCACCCTCGTCATGGGCTTCAGGTGCTGTTTCTTCAAGTTAAACCACTCCATAGTCCCCAGCTGCAAGGGAATGAGACAGAGAATGGAGGGAGGAAAGCAGGAGTGGTAAAGACAGTTCAAAAGCCTCACTTACTCTAACACGCGCATGGCAGGGAAAGGAGAATGCCCCCTGCCCATCAGAGATGCAGCAGGCTGTCTTCACTGGGACACGGAGCAGAGCATGGGGCAGGCAGGAAGAGCAGCGATACTGTGGCATAGCGGGGAATGGGGGAGCTTGAAACTGGGGATCCCCCACCCCCAAGCAGGAGACTCCACACAAACAGCACACTGGAGGGAAAGGGGCATCTTGTGCTTCTCCGCAGCAGCCTCAAAGGAGCACTTCAGAAAAGCTACTGGCAGCCCTGTCTGCTGGGAGGAGGCTCAGGACTTGGAGCCATTGGAGGCTGTGCTGAGGAAAGGGACTGCTCATGGGATGCCAGCCAGAAGCAGGAGGCCTTGGACTCGAATGGGGAGGAAGAGAGCCCACACATCCCGGTGGCACTGTACCTTGAGCGCCTCGGTCACCATCTGCTGAAGGTCAGGGGTCAGTGAGCAAAGCTCCCGAAAGGCTTTCATTTTGCACATCTGCACCAGGACTCTGTAAGGCCAGAAGACCATCTGTAGTGAGGCACAGCAGAATCCCTTCCAGGACAAGGACTTTGCCAGACAGAGACAAGTCCCTTTATCCCCAAGCCCCCCAAAACACACGCACACGCACATTCTTCTTCAGAGTTTCCTTCACAGAAAGGTCCCTGACACCACTGTGAGCTCTGGCCCAGTAGCTAGACCCAGACAGAGGGATATGTGGGTCCCTGAAAAGACCTGGAGCTGGCAGCCTGGAGGACAGAACTGAACTCTGAGACTCAGTTCATAGGGTAGCAGGTACGTCACCCAGCCCAGTATGCCTCAGGGTGAAAGAAAAGGTTTGAAAAGCTTATTGCAGAGGGACAGCCATGATCTTAGCTCACACCAAGGACTGAACCAACAGAGCCATCACATCTTGAGCTAAAGAGGCCAGGCTTCCTTGCTAGGTCAGTGCTGTAACCTCAGTGTATCATGAATGGTGTGGCATCAGTAGCATTCATCTGTGTTTCATAAAAGGCCCAGCAAAAAAGCAGTATGGCCAGTGGTATAAGGGCCTTATCTGGCCCTCTGAGGGAACTCTCCTGAGAGATCACAGGAAGAAACAACATCTAGATACCAGACTAGGAGGGGAAAGGTCCCTTGGGAGATAATAAAGGGAGATGGGGAAGAAGAAGCAATTTCCTCATAGAACAAGCTCCCATGGGAAAAAGTGGAAGCCCCAAAACTTGAATTGTTCAGAGGCAGAGCGGATAAGGCAGCACAGGGAACAACAGGCAACAAACAGTTCAGAGAACCTAGGGATAAGCCCACACCTGGGACTCTCAGAGACAGGCTGGCTCAAGCACGCCCGACCCACCCACTTCCACTCTCATATGCCAAACCCCAAAATATGACAGTGAAGTTGTTCAGAGACACCCTATACAGCACACTGGAGATAGCGATTGAGCATGGCCATGTGGGGACATCTCCAGAACAGCTTCCCTGCTGAATATCCAGGCTTGGCGCATGCAGGCAGGAGTGGGTGGATTGTCTCATTTCAAGACTTCCCACCCCTGAGAACAGCATTGACATGGTGCAGACAAACCCTAAGAGGCCTAGTGCCCGTTCCATGCCCAAAAAGGTTGGCAGCTGGCTGACCTGAGCAATGACTGCAGCCTCTGTGTGGACTGAGATGTGGAGAGTGGGAATATGATGCGGTACTTCTGAAGGAGAGACACACCGTAGGCCAGCAAGGACTCAAAGGACTCGGCCAGCTCTGATTTCTGGGGAGAAGGAATTAAATGCCATCAGTGGCAGCTTCAAAGACCTTAACAAGGGGCACAGCCTCTCATATGGACAAGGCTGGTCTCCAACCAACATGGCATCAACACTGGGGGGAACCATTTCTGCATCTGACTTCAAGAAATAATGTCCAAAACCTACTGAAAATTCTTTGCCCTGATGCAAAGGAATCCTCCAAAGTATTCTTCCTCTCTCAGTAAGGTGCTGAAATTACTCTCAGTAGCTGAGAGGCCAGAGCTTAATGGAAGCATCTCAATCTGCGACTAGATGATCTTATAAAAATATTTGTGTTAAGGTTAAATTGAGGTTTGTGCTTAACCAGGGATTCAGCATCATGGGGCTGCTAGGAAAATGCAATGTGTGGTGGGGGATGATCAGGGATGGCAAGAATGGGGACACTGTTTGGCTTTATTTTTCCCCCAATATTTCTCTTTAAGTCCCTCTGGTTGACAGGATGGCAAAGGGAACTGATGTTGGTGTCAGAGGGGCCAGAGCCAGGTGAGCCGGCAGGCAATCTGGGCACCATAACAGTGTCATCTGTAATGCAACGTAGCGTGCCTGGCTGTGTCAGCCTCTACCACAGTGTACCTCTGCCCCAGCCTAATGGGACTGCTTCCCTTGAGGTGTGAGGCCATCCCAGTCGCAGGGTCCCATCCAGCTCTTGGTCTCTTCAGAGACAGCCAATTAGGGCATCAGGCACCATGGTGGGGTGGGTTCTTGTGAACCCCAGTCCTCTGTGGGCAGGATGGGGACCTCATGATGTGGGCTGTTAGATGGCAGTGACTCTCAGCCATTGTTTTCCTGGATTGAGGCACTTAGGCCATGGCCAATCTCCACTTCATGGAAGAGAAGGTAACAGTTTCTCACATGGGGATGTGGTTCTGTTTGTAGATTAGTTCCCAACTCATCAGTCACTTAACAGGATGGATGATGGCATGACATCCCATCCCCGAGGACCCAGGCTCTGCTCTCTCCTCACACAGCTGCTGTAAGGACAAACCACTGCCACATTTCTCAGCCAGCTGTTATATGCCATGAACTCCTGCTCATTCTATAGGGGGCCTGCACCCATGCAGACCCAAAGGACCCTGTTTGGGTGGATTCCCAAGTGACATGAAGAAGCTCTCTTGGCTGTAGTGGCTTGTGGAAGGACTCCTCCAACACCCCCAGGCTTGAGCTTCAGTGCCTGGTCATACCTGCTCAGGTTTCAGCCTTTCCTGGGCCCACTGATACTCAATGCTGGTGATCTGGTGGAGAAGGCAGCTGCTGTTGAATTCTACGACCTGATAGAGCTTGCTGTAAGCCAGCCACTGTCTGGATGGAAAAGGAAAGAGACACACAGTGAGGACCCAATGAGTGAGGAACTATGACTGACCCTCCCAAAGGGACTTGGAATAGCTGCAAAAGGGGAAAGATAATTCTCCCTCTTCAGTGATCATGGTGGCATGTGCTCTGCCCACCACCATCCTTTGGGAAGAATACAGTACATCAGGAGAATGAGGGGTTCAGACTCTGGCACTGTTTATCACTCCAGGAGGCCATGAAGCAGCAACTGTCCAGGTTCTGTCTCAGGCCCAGGGCTTCTATCTTGCTTTCTCCTTGTTTCAAGATTTGTGACAAGGGAGCAAGAGGGGAAAAGGGATGAAAACAGACAGTGGCAGTGAAAACTCTCCCCACTGATCTCCATGCTCCCCTGTCCCCAACTGCAACTGTGGAAGGAGCAGCATAAGGGGCTGCCTGGCATCTGCTCACAGCCACAATAGCAGAAGAAGACCAAGAGCTCTGCTAGTGTCACAGGGCACCATCAGGAAAGTCTGCCTGCAGCAACACACCAGACAGAAGTGACCAAACAAATGGGGAAAGGGCAAGGCAGTCAGAGCTCTGGCTGGGATTAGCACTGGCTGATAAACTCACCAGAGGCAACAGATGTGAGCCTCTGCAGTTTAATGGTCATAGTGCTATCCCCTGTTCTGCTATTGAGCTTGTTATTGAGGGAGCTCAAAGCACATCCTTCACTGTACCTGAGGTCCCTGGCATCCTTGGGTACTGTTACCATGATGAGAAACTGAGGTATGGAAGTGGTTCAGTGACCTCCCCAAGGTCAAAGAGTATCACTGGCAGGGCTAAAAAAAATAGAAGCCAGGTGGCCTAATCCCCAGACACAGCTGCTGTAACTGCCCCTAGTGCATGCGTGCATGTGGTACTCACGCCATGACCTGGTGGAAGTCAGATAGGTCCTTCTGAGTAGCATGCAGGTACAGGATTGTGCTGGCATGGTTGCTCAGCTCCCCATCCCAGGAGATACTCCCAGCCTGTGTGGGGAACGAAAGTGTGAAAGGGTTTGAAGTAGCTACATTAGGAAAAGCTCATGTGCCTCATCCTCTTCCTTCAGGCCCTAGGTAATACTAATGAACCAGTGCTGTGACCTTCCTATCATTATTGCCACAGCCCAGATCAGTTTCCACATGGTTCCAGTGTCTTGGGCTCACTTTCAGAGGTGATCTTATTGGGAAGCAGCTGGAAAGCACTGCATTGCAGGAGGAGGGGGTCTGCAGATATGGTTGCACTGGGCCCAGGGGCAGATGGGTGGGGTGCACTGGTGCAGCTGTGCCACCACCCTCTGATTCCTGCTCCACTCAGACTTTAAAACCACTGGCTACGAAGGGCAGGGGGATTTCTATTCAGGCAGCCCTAAAGGAGTCAACTGACTTCATGGCTCATTATAATGTGCCTTATCCCTGCTAATCTCTCTTCACTCAGAGGTGTTAATGGGTATTCCTACATGAGATGCTAACTGTGCAGTAGCCTAATAACTCTGCACAGTAGCATGCTGGGCAAAACCTGTGCTAATACACTACTATGCAGTAGTATTAGGCTACTGAGCAGTTAGGGTCAGTAAAAAGCCATACGCTGGAGCTACTGCACAGTAGCACCAGTAACTGCACATTGATTTAGTAGTTAGTTATGCAAGTACTACACTTAATATACAGTAACTATGGTGCATTAATGATCATATAGACACACCCAATCCTTCTCCTCTTTTTAATGGTGTGGATGTTCTTTTAATCAAGCTAACCTTTCTTCTGCATTTTTGCTATCTGTTAGCTATTTCTGGTAATATCTCTTTTCTGTTTCACAAACCTGCAGACTGTTCTTAAACTCTAGCTAAAGACCCTGGCTCAGGCGTGGTTATATTAACACAGGTGAACATTAACTCAAGTGTGGACATGACTGACAGCAAAGTGTTGCATGCACTGTCAAGATGCTCAGGAAGACTAGATTTTATTTTACAAATATGAATAAGACACACATTTAACTATAATGATTATAGGACAAATAAAATAATATCTTTTGATTTTTTTTGGCTCTTTAAAAAATTTTTTTGGCACATTTTTTTTTTGTTCTTTTTAAACTTTATGTATAATTTAGCAAATTAGTGTGCCTTCCTATATATTATATTTGTATTTTGCTTTGATCTTAAACTGAATAATATAGCTCTAGGCCCCTAGCATATTCGTAACACTTTTGGTTTCTCTTTAACTGGAGAAAAACATGTTGTGTTATATGTGATGATACACCACATCCTCTGCACCTCCTTTGTCAACATCCTAGATCTGCCCATGCCTGGGCCAGTCTTCACAACCCCTTCCAAAGAGCAATGACCTTATCCCCAGAAAGTAAACTCATGACTTTGGAAAGCCCATTGCAAAATGTCATGTCTGAACACCACATTCGAATCTCGTCTGCTCTGCAGCAGACACTTAATTTTTCCCATGCTCCTCCCCCAACCAGTGTCCTTCGCCTTTTCAGCTTTGCACGTACCTGATGCTGCAACATCTCATATGACACCATCTGCTGCAGCAGGTGGCGATGGACAGTGTAACTCGGCTGGGTCTTGCTCAGGAAGGTGCACCTCTGAATGAGAAAGAAAACCAAGTGAACAGGGAGTGAGAAGGGAGGGACCCCATTTCCTTGGGACCTTGATAGGGAGAGCAATGCCCAAGCTGCCACATAACTTCAGGACCAGACCTGGAGAATCTGTACTTTATGGCAAGTCAGATCTAAGTAACAATGTCCCTTGTGGGAAGCTGAAGACCCCATCCTGAAGCGTGGGGATAAAAGGCCTGATTTTCAGGGTTAAGCACTAGGTAGCATCAACACCAAGACATGGACCTTGATTATGGAAGGACCCTCATAGATGCTAGAAAGCTACATGTAGATAGGACTCACAGATGAAAATCCCAACTTCTTATTGCTACAGCAGGTCCTAGACCTTCGATCTCTGTTGCCTCTTGACCAGAGAGAGGATCAGCCCCTGCTAAATTAACCCTTGCAAACAACCCACAAAAGTGATGTTTCTGTTGCCCCATTTTTCCCAGCTAGAGGTTCCTCCTACCTTCTTGTGAGTCAGCAAGAACTGCAGGTGGCACTGTCCCCTGTTGGGGTAGGTTTCTGTCCGTGGCTCCAGGGTGTACCACTGGTCATCCCTGCAGTGCAGGTCCTGCAGACAGACAAATGAACAAGATGTCAAAAAAACAGGAGCATTAGCAACAGGAATGATCTCCATAGATATCTTGTTGTGTTAACATGGCAGGGATATGTAATATCAGACAATTAACAGTTATACTGAATTCACACAATGCATAAGGAGAAATTTTTTTCCTTGTTTCTTGAATTAAAATATAAAATTCATGAGTAACAAATTGCATGTCTCAATACAGATCATAAGCAATTTTACTGCTGGGGGTGTTGCTAGTAGGTCCAGGGAAGTGATTATTCCCCTCTATTCAGCACTGGTGAGGCCACATCTGGAGTACTGTGTTCAGTGTTGGCCCCCCCACTACAGAAAGGATGTGGACAAATTGGAGAGAGGCCAGCGGAGGGTGACAAAAAGGGTGAGGGGGCTGGGGGACATGACTTATGAGGAAAGACTGAAGGAACTGTGCTTATTTAGTCTAGAGAAGAGGAGACTGAGGGGACTTAATAGCAGCCTTCAACTACCTGACGAGGGGCGCAAAAGAGGATGGAGCTGGACTGTTCTCAGTGATGGCAGATGACAGACCAAGGAGCAAGGGTCTCAAGTTGCAGCAAGGGAAGTTTAGGTTAGATATTAGAAATAATTTTTTTGCTAGGAGGGTAGTAAAACACTGGAACAGGTTACCCAGAGAGGTGGTGGACTCTCCATCCTTGGAGGTTTTCAAAACCCAGCTAGACAAAGCCCTGGCTGGGATGATCTAGTTGGGGATGGTCCTGCTTTGATCAGGGGGTTGGACTAGATGTGACCTCCTGAGGTCCCTTCCAGCCCTAACTTCCTGTGATTCTATGATCCTTCTATTGTCTAGTGAGGCATGGTGTACTCTAGGGTTATAATGTAATTACGGGTACATTGGTCTGAGGAAGCAACGACTATCTGAGGAGGTCAGCTCAGGCCACCAGCCACAGCTAGTCACTTAAGGTCGAAGGAACAAGCTGTGCTGTTCGGAGCATGGGCCAATCAGGAGCTCTAGGCCTCATTTCACCTCACTCAGGGATCACAGTCCTGTCTAAATCCCATTAGGTTGAGATAATGCCTGTGAAGTACACTGAAGTTTGTGAAGGAGAGCTCCTACAGAACCACGGAGCATCATCACACTTAGCTCTCACCTGCAGGCGAAGAACCAAGTTCCCGAGGAAGTCGTCCTGACCTTTGTCTTTTCGAGCATCCTTGAAGATCCTGGAGAAGAAGAAACCAGCTGGGTGAAGGAAGAAGTGTTCCCTATGAATGTAAAATATTTATGCAGCACAACCTCAGAGTGAAAGAAGGTTGCAAAGGCATGACAGAGCCACTCCTAAGCCTGCAGCATGGAAACACACAGGTCTGGCTTCCACTTCCCAGGCCTGGGCAGCAAGGACCTTACAGCGCTGCACTCTCAATAGCACTTGGACCAGCACACATCCTGCTGATGAAGTGGGGCTGCTGATGGCACAGAAGTCCCAGCTTTTGTACTGACCTCTTCAAGCCATGGAGATCTGTCAGCTCTCCCAGCTTGTGCCGCACGGATTCCACTACATCAGAGTCCCTGAAAGGGAGAGGCGTAAAAACAGCAGGTGAAGATGGGATGCTGCAAAGGTACTACTGACATTAGTTTGGTGGTGATCCTGGGAGCTGAGGATTCAATCAGAGTCAGCAAAATGGCCTTCTAATAAACATAGACCATGGGACAGGGCAAAATTAGCTCATTGAACACGGGAAGAAAATCAGTTGTTTGGGGTCATCACTAAGAGATGATGTTTGGAGTAACAAAATACCCTGAAGAGCTGGAACAAAATGGCAGCGACCCTGAGCTTCCTCCTTGTAAAAGAAGCCAAGTACCACAAGGCCTTTGCATGTCTGCTTCACAAAGGAGCTCATGGCTCGATTTTCTGTTGCCTTGCAGCCCATGTGAATGGCTAATGCCACTGCAAAGCGAACAGAAAATGCAACCCTTCTAATTTGGTAACACAACACCCCAACTTTACAGTAGCATGGGTGACCACTTGCAAAACAAGGCGGTGGAGAAACAGGCTGCGTGCCTTTTCTTGGTGTTCTGTGGTGGGATCTAGGAGAGTACAGGTTCTAGGAGAGTCTAAGTGAAGCTCCCAGGACCTTCTTCAAGTATACGGATAGATTGGGGGTCATGATTGACCACAAGATGAACATGAGCCTTCAATGTGATGCTGTGGCTAGTAAAACGGCCAAAAAGCTGGCTTGCATCCACAGATGCTTCTCAACTAAATCCCAGGATGTCATTTTCTCCTTGTACTCGGCCCTGGTGAGGCCACAGCTAGAGTACTGCATCCAGTTTTGGGCTCCACAATTCAAAAAGGATGTGGAGAAGCTTGAGAGAGTGCAGAGGAGAGCCACATGCATGATCAGAGGTCAGGAAAACAGACTTTATGATGAGAGGCTGAGAGCTATGGGACTCTTCAGCCTGGAAAAGCGCAGGCTCAGGGGTGATCTGGTGGTCACCTATAAGATTATAAGGGGTGTTCACCAGGATCTGGGGGAACGTTTGTTCACCAGAGCGCCCCAAGGGGTGACAAGATCGAACAGTTATAAACTCCTGTAAGACTGTTTCAGGCTGGACATAAGGAAGAACTTTTTTACTGCCGAGCCCCCAAGGTCTGGAATAGCCTGCCGTCAGAGGTGGTTCAAACACCTACTTTGAACACCTTCAAGAGAAATTTGGGTGTTTATCTTGCTGGGATCCTATGACCCCAGCTGACTTCCTGCCCCTGGGGCAGGGGGCTGGACTCGATGATCTTCCGAGGTCCCTTCCAGCCCTAGTGTCCATGAAATCTATGGAATCTATGAAATCTTGATCTTTGAACCCCAAGTTGGTGTAGGTGCACCTGTGCTATTGAGAAGAGCAATGATCACACTCACCACATGTCCAGGTGGAAGCTGGAGTTGGCTACATCTTTAAACTCACTGCAATACACAAACAGGAAATGTATTCAATGGGTTTTTAGCAGCTTAACTCAGGTCACAAATATTAGTTAGTAAGGAAGGCAGAGTAAGAGGATAGAGGCAGGCCAGATGTGGCCCATGGAGCTGTGTCATCCAACCCACCCAGCTCCCTATGGGTCCAAACATTTGATGGGATGGAGTAGTGGCAGTGTTAATTGCCACACTCCTGCTGCCACATTGCCAGAGAAATGAAGAGCCCAGTAGGCCAGAGAGCATGGCCATGAGTGCTGGATTAGGAGCAGAGGGCTAGATCCTGGTGCATGGGGTTAAGACAAGGTGGCACAGGACCCGATCTGGGTGTATGGGGCCCAACCCCACATGCTGACCCCAGCCAAACCACTCATCTGGCCCTTGAGGCTAAAGGGTTGAGCACCACTGATATAGGCACAATCACACAAGCTAATTAGCATGGCTGAATGACAGGGCCAATAAGTCCACCTCCATGCTATTTAGCCTAGCCACCACACTGCATGGATGTGGCTATGCTGTTTAGGAGATAGCCCAAGCGAAGCAGCATGGTTTGTGAGAGGGAGCTGCTGTTTGGCATGGGAAGTTTGCAGAGAAGACATGGCTTAGAAGTCTGGTTGCTTAAAAAAATTAAATTAAATATAGGAGCTTGTTATTTAATAAGCAGAGACATGTGTTTATAGCATAGATAGCATCCTACCAGCCCCACCCATCACTACCAGTCTGGAAGATCAAATTTGGAATCTAAACTCCTTGTCAGAAAGGAGACAGCCAGAGCAACAGGGAAGGGAAAGGAAGGGGCAAGGGGGAGACATACAGGATAAATGTTTCATCCCACACGGGACTGAGCGTTTGATTTATGACTTGAGTGCGATGGATCTGGTCTTCAGGGATCAGGTCTTTTACCACAGCCTTCATCCGCTTCTTGTTCTCCTGAGAGGAGCTGCTGTCACTGCAATGCTCCTGGCTCCTGGCCTCGATCCCCAGCAGGCAGTATGGATCGCTGAACCCTGCAAGTACATGGAATTAAAGACAGAAATCCCTCCAAGTGAATCACCTTGTGTGACAAAATGCAACAACAAAGTCCATCTGTCCCTCAGGCAGTGATGATAGCGCTTTCAGTCTAAGGATACAAATAGGCAAGACATTTGTTCTGGGAGAAACCACTTTATCCGAGGACAAAGTGCAGTTTTTCAGACATCCATATTGTCCCAGGACAAACCCTAAAAAGGTTCAGGGGATAAGAAGTGCTAACAGTTCATCTCAGGACATTGTGAAGTGTGTCTCAATGGTTGTCCCAGGACTGTATCACAGGATCAGTGGCAGAAAGCAGTGCTCACTAAACCCCAGCTGGAAGGATGATGTGTATACATGCCAATCCTGGGATATTTGTGTTCCAGGATAAACGTAGATACAACTTGTCCTGGTGTAGCAAAACCCCCAGCTTTTCTTTTTTTTTTTTCTTTTAAAATGCATTCCCTCCCCTTCCCCAACCATTTCTGACTTTTTCTTTCCCTCTCTATTCCCTATAGATAAGTATAAGTGAGCTAAGACATAGGATAAGTTTCAGCACTCTATTTTGGTACAAGCTGTATTTGTTTTGTTTTTTCTCCTTCTTTATATTGTATAATTATTGTTTATATTGATTTTTACTGTTCTATATTACTATTTTACTGGTACTATATGATTTAGGCCTACATATGTAAGTTAGCAAAAGTCATGCCAAGTTTCCATTTTGTTTGTCAAGTCTCCATCCTGTCCCCAGGCCTGGTTGTGTAACCCATGACTCACACCTACCCCTCCTATGTAACTTGGTTCCTGAATGAATGGGGATGAATGAGGGGGCTTGAGAGACAATGGCAGTAAGTCTAAAAATAGCTCCCTCTGAATGACCGAACCATCAACACTAATACCTGGACCAATGACCCAGCCCTTGGAACCACCCTCAGCATTCAAGAAACAAAAGATGAGGCAACCCACCATTGCACCAAGGCTGCACTTGCTTAGTAAGAACACCAGGAGCCCTCTGGGACAGGACTGACATTGCCTGGACAGGCCCTCCCATAGGAGATCAGAGGAAGTCTGCCCCATAAAAAGGGATAGTGAAGACTGACTCCTTGGGACGTCCTCTCCATCTGGACCAGCACCATTCCACACCACCTACCCACCCAGAGGCCCTGCCGGCAACTCCCCTCTGGACAACACCTACTGGACAAGGACCCCTTTCCAGCCTGGATAGGTAGCTATCACCCCCTACCCCCTCTTCAACCAAGGACTTGGACTCTGCTTCTCTTCCCCACCTGGACTCCAGCCCTTCCACTGCGTCTCTTTCTCCTGCTGCCATTGTGAGTGTGCATGCGTGCCGGTGACTTCATGGGGCTGTGTAGTGTGTTGTCTGTTTGGTAGACCTGTTGTTTTGAGACCCCAAGTTGGGTTTTTGTCTGTTTCCTGGCTGTTTCCTCCTTGCTGCCACTTGTCTGCGCCCCCCCGCCCCCGGTGTCTCAGCTGTCTGCCTCAGTTTCCAGCCCCAGTCTACCTTGGGTGGCCCCAAGCCAGCTTCTCTCTGGTCCACCGGTTCTGGTCTCAGTTCTGGCAACTTTCACTCCCTACACTTTAATTCTCTCTCTCACTTTAACCTTCCCCCAAGTATCCCAGGTACTCCAAGCACACACACACTGTACCATCCAAGTTAGGAACTTACCTGCGTGTATGTGTAGGTGGGTTGTGTGTGTGTGTATATATATATATATATATATATGTCATTGTGTGCATGATATATGAATTAGTGATCTGTGTCTAACTTTGCGGATGTATAGTGTATGTGCTTGAATTGGTGATAGGTATGCATGTGCCTAGGCTGGTTTGGATGTGTAACTGCCTGAGTTGATAGTGTGTGTGTGTATGCACCTAATTGATTTGTGTGTTTGTATATGTACAATTGTGTCACACCCTCCTGTCTAGCAGCGCAATATTGAGATCCTGACCCCACAGGGCAACACTGATATAAATGCAATATCTGTTCCTAGCCCAAAAGGCTCAAAGTACTTCACAAACATGCAGCACACCTCAGTCTGTGGCTTAAACTGAGGTAAACTAAGGAATGGACTGGTATTACGATTTGTCCAAGGTCAGATATGCCACAGGGTATCAGCAGATTCAGGAAAAGAACCCAGCTTTCTTGGCTCCCAAGTCTCATGTGCCAATCACTTAAAGGTATACATGTTTTTCTACTCACCACTGACATCTTTGCCCAAAATCCCCTTGGCTTGCTTCACAGTTGCTTTCAGACAAAAAATTGGGCTCTAGAAGGAAAAAAGGAAAAAAAAAAGCAACCCATTTAAATAGGAACTGTCCATCACGTAGAGAACTGGATGGACATTCATGGGAACAAGGGTGTAATATATACTGTTTCAGCACAGCCACTCCTAAGAATTCAACAATCACAAATCAGGCCACCCCAAATCATGAGGGAATGGCCAAGAAATTCAAGTTAAAATCAGAGATTTGGGGTTCATTTTTATTAGACTTCTGGTTTCCAAGCCTTTCAGTTATGATTTGGAGCTTTTCTCTGCAGCTAGGATGCCTAGTCATTTCCTTTTTTTCTTTTTTAAAAAAGGAGAGCTGAGTCTGACATAATCACATGACTCCAGAAGCTAAAGCTATAAGGAAAACAGAAAGCAGCTTTCCCTTTCCTTTCTTTTGCTTTATGTGGGCCTGCCTGGTGCTATTTCAAATTCAGCTTGCATGATACGTTTTCTTACACAGCACAAAGGAGACAGCACATCACAACTCCTTCAAAGCAGCATGTCAGACAACCCCAAGTGCAACGGGCCATTGACCGAACCATGGACCTGCCTAGACACACAACACTGTCTAACGCAGAGAGTGCACAAAGCAGAGGTCTACGTTTACAGTGAAGCACCCTGGTCTGTCACCCTCCCACAAGCCGTTTTAATCACTAGTCCAAATTACTTTCTCAGATTGTCACGGCTCTTTGAGTAAATCTGATATCTTTTATTAGACCAACTAAATAGTTGGAAAAATTCTTCTTTGCAAGCTTTTGGGTACAAACACCCATCTTCAGGCAGAGGTCTGCAGATTCATGAGAACTCCCCCTTTCTGCCCCAAATCTTGTGGCCAAGTGGACTGAAGTCTTCTCTCTCCAGCACCCATCTCCTGGCACCATGGCTGGGACCTGTCAGAGCTGCCAGGCTGTATTCTGCAGTCCTGTTAAGGAGCTTTAATCTACACTGAGTGAGAAGGAATGTGAAAGCTTCTCCAGCCCCTTTTCCCTACAGGATGTTTCAGACATACCAGTGATTTGCAGAAGGGACAAAGGCAGATGGGTGGGGATCATCCTATATAACTTGCTTTCCCCTTCATCAGGGTGGATTTGTTCCCCCTGTTCACTGCACAGGCCAGGAAGCACAAATTAATCTATGTGGCAGTGATTCAAAGACAACATTTCCAAAGAAGAGTGCAAGAAACTCAAGTAGCCAGCTGCTGTCCATCATTAGACACGACTGAGCCCTTGGGATGGACACACTGGATCTAATCTTTCTATTATTCTATACTGAAGCACAAAGCTGCAGACCATGAAATGTGTTGCCACCCTGTCGAATGGAAACACCTGGACTTCTTACCAGAGACACGTTGCCCAAAGTGGGAGTCCATTTAAGCATTAACTCTAGATCTCACACATTGACTTGCAACCAACCTCCTGCCAAACGCATCTGCCCGCATTCAAGCAGGGGACTCGCAGGGGGAAATGGATGCACTCACACAACCAGATGGGGGTGGGACCTCACAACATAAACACTGTAGCCTGTTCCCATGTACAGGTGATGTGCTCTCCTGGGGACAGCTCAAACTTTACCTCCAGGCTCTTGACCCGCTGCATTAAAATATGGTGCTCCTCTGGAGACATTTGGAAGGCCTGTTTTCAATATTAAAGAGCAAAAATTGAGTTTGCCAGCACAATGGTAACTGGGATGCAGCCAGGGGCTTCCCACCCTCCTTATAACCATTATTCCCTTCCTCTATGAGCCAGCTGGCTCCCCTGGAGAGTTTGATGGGAAAAGAGATGAATAAACAGCTGAGCTAAAGTGAAATCTGGGCCTAAGGTCAGGAAAATTTAAGGGCTCTCCAGAGAGAGACTTCTTCCAAGCTTCCCCTCCCCTCATTAATGCTTCTTCCCTGGCCAGCCAGCTCCTTCTCAGCTACCCTTCTGCTCCCAGCCCTCTGGACAGAGTAGTCTACTGGACCTCTTAAGGTGGACTATTATTCTCTTCCTTGATTTTGCTGTAGCCCTGCTCTGGTGCCTGGCTGGTATGACTTGGCTTTGCCGCACGCGGCTGACTGTATCTGGGGCTCCCCTCACTGCAGGATGTTGGAGAACAGATTCCTATGTGGTTTCTGCTCTGTAAAACATGCCCCTGCCATTGGGAGCTCTGCTGGTGAGAAATGTGGAGGTTACCTCTCTTGATGTGGAAGAGAGGGAATGATGAGGGTAGAGTTGGGAGGTAGCCCCTTGCTAGCCTTGGACTAAGGGGGCTTTGTGGGCTGAGAGAGGAGATTTCTCCCAGTGGTAGGATAGTGAGGCAACTGAAAAGTATGGCAAAGAGCTGCTGGACACATATCAGGCTGGACAGGGATAGAGCTGGGCTTGAGGACTGACCTTCTGGACGTACTCATACAACTCACTGGCATCAGCAACATGGTTCGGTTCAGGTTTACCCAGGCGGTACAGTATGGTATAAAGGACCTCCTCGTACAGAAGGGTAAGCTGAGGATGAAGGGGTATAACAGGTCACAGCCAATACCATCTCTATATGTTTTGTGAGCTAGTCTCCACCATGCTGGGTGACAGGCTTCTTGCTCTGGATTGGGACAGTACTGTTACATATTTTCTCCACCAAACACAAAGGCAAACCTTGGAGTTGTGAATACACTGTCACACACTCTTCTGCCCAGAACAGACATCAAGGTATGCTGGCTGGAAGGCCATTCAATTAGCTTCTTTGTTGGCAGTCTCAGTTGAGGGTAAATATTTAGCACACAAAAAAATTGTATAACCTAGAGCTAAGAACCACGACATATTGCTGGGAAGCTTATATTGCCATTGCCCAGTTATGTGAGTCTACAAAGTCTACAGAATGGTAACTCTTTTATCAAGATGGAATTCACTAAGGAAACAAATACCCAGCTCATACCTCTTTTTTCGAAAATCGGTGGGACAGATCCATCTAGAAGAAACAAGAGAGATGGGTTGTCATTCAGTTTTGCTGGCCTAGCAAGAATGTTGTTTCAGTAGCTGCTTTTCCTGCAGTGCAATAACATTATGAGTTTATGATACACTGGTGCATCTCTTTCTGCTCTGCATGCTTTTAAAGGCACTCTACCAAATACCCTAGAGAGACTCAAGAATACACCTGGTGTGGACTCCTAGATTTCATGGATTATAAAGCATCACGTTCATCTTGTCTGACCTGCAAAATAGAGGCCAGGAGACTTCTCTGAATTCATTCTGGTTTGAACTGTAGCACTGCTTTTTGCTATCACTGCACACCCTCCTGGAAAAAAAATCTACCCAGCCCAGGTTTTACAGATTCTGTTCACAGAGTCATTCCCTCTACACGGTTTTAGTACCAACATTTATAGGATAGCATTCTGACCTTTGCTACTTAACAGTTCAAGTCTGGAGCACTGTTTAAGATTTATGGCTTGTGATGCGGCTGGGGTGGCACGACTGCTAAGGTGCATGCTTGACAGCCCAGAGGTTGCAAGTTTGAGGCTGCAGCAGAAGCACTTGGATCATAATGAAACTGTGAACTCTGCTAAATGCTTTGTCACACACAGGGCAAACCAGGTGGCCACCTGGGGCCTGGATAGAAAGGGGGGCCAAAAATGGTGGGTTTTTTAAAATTATCATTATCTTTGGCAAAGGGAGGCCCGATACTAAAAGTTCACCTGGGGATGCCAGGAGTCTAGGTACGGTGCTGGTCACAAGGACATGATAGCATAATTCCAGGTGCATGGATTTCTGGCAACTTGTTTAACCTGATGTATTATGTGAAAGACAACTTAATTACACTAAAGATTACACATAGGATAAAACAACTTGGAATAGTACCCCTAGCCACCAAAGAAATCCAAATCTGGATCCATATGTTACACCTGGCCCTACTTTGTCCAACGGAGTGAACCAAACCCTCAAATTTGGAGAGGCTGCTATCCGAAGAACTGCAGCCCCTGACTTTTGCAATTCAAGCCCATCTCTACACAAAATGGGGTCTTCAAGCCCCATGACCTTTTCTGTAACAAAGCCAATGACTTATCAACGAGTCCTTACATGCACAAGTCATTTCCTCTCAGGCTTGGTATCGTGCTGGTTACAGAGCAGCCTCCATTGCCAACTAACACAGAAACTGAGCAAGCCTTGACTTCACACCACTGTTCACTTGTTCCATCCACAGCCGGGAGAGCTAAGCAACACGTTCCTCCCACCACAGCATCACCTGATGGGAGGTGACTTTGCCACCGCAGACCGGTTGACTAGGCTGCGTTGCAACCAGAGAGAGGGCGGTTTGAATTCTCACACAGCCTGCAGCTTTCAGCTCTAAGCTTTGTTAAATTATTAGACACAAGAGATCAAGCGTGGGAGAGTTAAATGACTATAGCTTGGAAGCGAGAAGCTTCTAATTTTCTCTAGGCCATGAGCAAAATGAGTTTGTGCCTTTCAGTTGTTCAGTTCCCTCCAACATGAAACCACAGGTCAGTGCCAGGCAAAGCAACCCCCACTGTTCAGGACAGGTATAAGGAGTGCTGTAGGATGGTGTTGGTCCGCTGGCAAAGCCAGAGGAGGACTCTGCTTCACGGGAACATCCAGGACGTCAAATCGGCGCTAGGGAAGGTGCAGGATCATTGGAGCTGGAGTTTAATTTTTCATTATGTCAAAATTAAGGGCTAAAGCAATCCCAGGGGTAGCTTAACCAAATTCAGTAGCTGTATGTGGGATGAATGAAGTCCCCTTAAGCTATAACCAGAGAATGCATTTTTAACGACTCTTTCCCAGCGTCCTTGGATATTGCCAAAAAATAGCAAAACAGCAGAAGTCTCCATTGCGCTTTGTGCTTGCTGGACCGTCCCACAGATGAAGATCTCCTCTAAAATCAGCTGACTCCAATTTCTGCTGCTTCCCAGTGCTTATATCATCTCCCAACCTGGAACTCCTACCTTTATGTTGGCTCATCCCGTGTTTGAACTAGGCCACTGCCCTTCTGACTGGGTCAGTGAAAGAGTCTCATGACCCTCCTTTGTGTACTTCTGTGCTTCAGCTAAGGCACTTCTCACCCTTTGACTTTCCTACAGACAGAACTGCCTATGCAGCAGAGTTTCAGGTGCAAATACAGAAGACTTTGTCACTCCTTGATGCAATCTCTTATCATGCAGGCACAATATCCCATGAGGCTACAGCTGTGTTGTAAACAGGGAGGGGGGAGAAGCGGCTTCTGCGCGATGAGGGCGTGAGCTGTTACAGTAAAAAATGTTCTTCTCCAGTTAGGGAGCCTCTTTGCCATCTTCCTGAGCACTGTCATGGCCTTCACAGAGAAGAAATAGCCTCTTATTTTTTCTTGCTAGCAGAAACAGCTTGATCTTGTCAGGCAGGGTTAGCTGTGGGGTGCAGGGATTTTTGGTTGTTTATGAAATGGGTGGAAAGTTTTATGGCAAAGCTCAACTGAAGGAAGAGTTAGCGCTGAACGTCCCCACCCTCCCAAACGCCTGCGTTTACACTGGCTTCTGATGAGAATGACTTCCAGATCCTAGGCCTGGGACTAGAGAAAGTCCCCTGCATGCACAAGCCTCCTTTAGTGATCCGCAGCTTCACCCTTTCCAGCAGGACAAAGCTGTGCGGGAGGCCAGGGCTGCAGGGGAAGAAATAAGAGGATCTGTTGAGGACCCAGGCCAATCCCATAGAGGGCTTTGCTTTAGGCTCCAGTGCAGAGACAAGTTAGACAGCCTGTTCCCAGCAACCTGCAGTACTCAGCACATAGAGGCTCCTCATTTTGTACTAGGGGAAGTCATTCCTCCACCCCCAGAGCCCATGGCTTCAGTCTTAGCTCCATATTGCAATAATCAGGCTTGGCTCCCTCTGGCCATGTCTGGATCACTCTGGTTATGTGTGGGCCTGAGCAGGCTGTGGAAAATCTTCTGGCCTGTTGCAAATGGCCACGAGTATTTTTAAACACCAAGGCTACTTGCACATCCAGCAGTAGTGTGGAAATCCCAGGAGCCTGGAAGGCTGCAGATTAGCTAAACCCCGAGGCAGAAGCTCTGAGTTGTGGGGGATGTTTTCAAGGAGGGAAGTTACTCAAAGTATTTCCCTCTTCACCAGTAGGACTGCAAGGGGGGAACATCTAAGGCAAAGCAACGTAGTGTACACACACACACACACACACACACACACACACACACACACACACACACTATTTTTTACTCCAGATATTCCACAGTCATGGTTACGATGCATTTTTCCTAACACTCCCACCACTGCAACCTTGGCGCTCTGGTAAGGTTAACATCTGGTTACTAGCTTCTTATTCACCATCTTGTCTAGTCCTGCTCAGCACAAGGTTTAATGACATGTTAAGCAAATTATCAATAGTCTGTCTACACCAATGGTTTGCACCATTTGTTACACTAGAGACATCCCTCAGAAAGTGCCAGCTCTTAAGTTTCACTCATTTTTACTGTAGAAAAAATAACAGAGCAATTCTTCTGTTACAAAGAACTCAGAAAAACCAAAACAGGTCAGTCAGCATGTTTTTAACACTATCAGTATTGCCAACCCCACCATGTCAAAAATCATGAGACAAACTCTTAAAAATCAAGAGATTGGAATGTAGAACATGAAATGCTATTTTTTAAGTGTGTGTGTGTGTGGGGGGGGTTATTTGTGAAGGTGTGAGGGGGGGCGGGGTTTGGAGCCTGAGGAAGGAGGGCCCCTGCACACCCTGGCAGGATGCAGGGTACTGTGGGGCAGGAGTGAGGGGCAGCAGCAGGGCTGGGGGGGCTGTGACTTGGGACTAAGGGACAGACACACACAGACACATGCATTGATCACCCCCCACCACCCCTTCCCCTACACAGACTTACCAGCTTAGCACTCTACACACGCCAGAAGAAAAAATCCCGAGATTTGATCTCTCTCCATCAGGAGATCATGAATCAGAGTTAATTTGACTTGGAAATCAGGAGCCTCGTGATATTTTTCACGAGAGCTGGCATTACTGTGCTATGCATTCCTTGGTTGAAATCTCTCGGTTTACCTAGTGAATCGTGTTTGCACGCCTAACGGCACCAACACTATGTGGCACCCTTGAAAGGATCTCAAGGCACCCTGGCTGAAAATCACTGGTCTACATGGTAAGTCCCATGGCCATCGAGCGCAGCCTCTGCAGATCAGCATCCCAACATCCGAATGAAGTGGGGTGGGAGCGAGGGGGAGAGAGAAAGCCAGAGGTTGAATAAGACACACCTGTTCAAACTAAAAGTAAAAAAGACCACATACTTCACTGTTGTCCTCCCCAGGGACGTCCCCAGCTGGGTTCTCGCTGACAGGCTCCATGCTAGAGTGGATCACAGCCGCCTCGAGTAGGGTACAGGAGATTCAGGCCAAGAGAACTCAGCTTTTGCTCCTTTTCATTACGGCTTGAACAGCCCTTCTCACGAGTGCTACCTCTTCCCCTCAGTTTGCATGCTCAGAGGAAACCACACTTTATCTCACCCTGACCATAGTAACAAACGGAAATTCAGAGAGCTCCATCACTATAGACTGAGCTGCACTTTCTCCCTGGCCTGTAGAGCCCAGCTGGGGGCTATATGCCCTCAACCAAGGCTGGTCCTGTGCAGACAGGGGCCCACTTCTTTTTTAGTTATATGCTACAGAGGGTTGCAGGTGAACACAGCACTTTACAAACATCCCAGGAGACAATGGGCTCCACCTGGGGGAGCTTATTACCGTCCAACTCAGATCCAGCCATGCAAATGAAAGGCCTGGAAGTGGATAAGACAGTGAAGGAGGATTTGGAGAGGGTTGTAAAAGAGAGAACTCAAGGTCAAGGGAGGAAAAATGAATGCATAAAGGGAAATGCTGTTTCAAATACCCAAGGTGGGATATACACAAACCACGAAGAAGGGCTGAAACTGTGGAGGAAGGGCGCAATAGTGACAGAGTGCACGAGAAGGAGAATTGAAGGATGCAGGGGTCAGATGCTGATGGAGTCAGTGTCACACGCAGTGTGGAGGGCAGGGAGGAAGTGTGGAGGGGTTAGCCTGGGAGGGGAAAGCAGACTTTGGCTTCAGTGGAATGGAAGGTGGGGGTTAGCCAGAGCAGGAGGGAAGACTCCTCTCCCAAGGGAGTTTGTTCAAAGCAGCAGCTTTTGTCAAACCAAAGGCCACTAAGCTAAAGGGCGTGGGGAATATAAATTTCTCTCTGCAGCAGACGGTCATGTTCAGCTCAGGGAAAGGTGGAGCAACACTGGTCTCTTCAGCCCAGCTCTGCTCTTAGCAGCAAAGAGCTGGTCCAGTCGCTCGTCCTGCTGTAGCACTGGGGATGGAGAAATGGCCATTCTCACTAATGGCAGATCCACCTGGCTGGAATGGCTGGCCTGCCACAACTGGGACTGCTGACCAGGCAGTGCACATTTCAATGCAGCAGTTTCTTTCCAGTGACAAGAAGCAGGGAGTTAAGTTGCGCTTTACTGTCGGCTTGCATTCTCACAAACATGTTATCTGATTGCAAATTACCAGGAGGATGCCTTATCAGCTACTGGCAGCAAGTGCCTTAGCCTTAAATAAATGTGTATCAAAAGGCTCTGAATTCCTGTTAAGCTGATGTACAGAAGGCATAGGGGGGTGGGGGAGACAACAATGTGAACTCAGGGAAACTCAGAAGCAGAAAGAACAGCAACAATGGCAAAGGAAAGAGCTAAGGTACTTGGGATTCTGCGTGTTTACTGGAGATTTATGCGTGCAAATAGGAATGGCCTTCCTCTTACATTTAGGGTGTGCCTTCAACTCAAGAGCACTTCACATATACATAGTGCCACTAGAGAAATGGCAGTCATCTTGGCTGGCACGCGGGATTGAATCAGAGATGTCCAGGGCTAAAAGCATGAGCTTCTATTTCTTGTGCTATGGGACTAGGGCTCCCTTCCCAGGGCTGTTAAATAAGACTCAAAGGCACATAGCGATGAGGGAAAGCCCCTGTAACAGCCAGTCATCACTGGGTTATACACACAGGAGCGATTTCAACTACTGCTAAGGGTTTGCTTGTAATGAGGTCTTTGCAAAAAGCCCTGGCAAGGAATGCCTGGGATTTATGGCATTTGTGTGCTCCTTGGAATCCACATATCAGTTGTCTCAGACATTGGACAAGCCCTTGTTGCATCCATTGCTTGTAGTACATAGGGCTATACCTTCAATCTGCCTAATTAGTATAATCTACAGTGATTTCTACTCCATAAAGATAGAAAACCACAAAAAGTGCAACTGCACCAGTTCAGCTGGTTCTTTTGACACCCCTACAGTAATGCAATGCTAAGAGATTACCTAAAAGACTATGCTCCCTGCAGCAATGCTGGGCACAATTAGATGGGTCCCCTAGGAGCCCCAGATGTACTGATAACTATCACACCTGTAAGGCACTGTGTATGAGCGCTGCCACAAACACCACTGCCAAAACAAGAGAGGCAACCAACCAGGTCATCCAACTGATGTCTTTGCAATAGCTTCCTTGGTTTTATTATAGTGAGATGCAGCTGCTTCTGGCGTGGAGCAGGGGCTGTTTAACGGCACACAAGAAAACAGTAACAGCAGATTTAGGGTGAGATAAGAATTTCCTTTCTAACTGCAAAGGCAGGGGGGAAATTGAATTGGGCAGAATGTAATTACAAGGTAAAACTGTCAAGGACGTGGGCTAACAGCCCTCTCAGCAGTGTTACAGGATCTTTAATAAACCCACGCAACCAGGTACACATTTTATGCCTCATTCAGTTCCCTTCTGGCCATATTCCTGGAATGTGGCTGGTCCAGTCCCTGTGGCTGGATAAGCAAGCAGACTTTCTGCTTAGCAATCTTTCAATTGGAGCTTAATGCTAGTGCACTGTTAAAACAATGGAGATGCAATGGGATTCCAGTCTGCCGGTGACTGCCAGCACTGTCTCCTTCCCTTGCTGTTTCCAAATTCCCTTTCCCTGCAAGTACTTGGGAGACAAGACCTGTAAGCCGACAGAACAGATGCTTTTCATTTGCAATGGCCACCAATGAGCCGATGCAGCAAGAGATGAACAGTATGTGCAAACTTACATAGCACAAGAAATTAACCCATAACCCCCATTCTGATTGAGACAGGTCCATCTCTGCACACATTTCTTGCAGATCTCAGTCCATTTCTTATTCAAGACCACACAGCCATTTTGACCCAAACTGTGATCAAATCAGCAGCAGTTTCAGATTTGGTTCTGCTCCTTTGGCACACTATAGCAGCTGTAGAGGAACTGCCGTGGGGAAACATGTCTTTTGCAACCCTGTGATAGTCACAGAAGTGAGGGCTTTAGTCCAGGGAAGGATGCATTCACACTATTCTCCTCTCCCGTTTCTTATTCTATGCAGCTATATGCCATTCCTCTCTCTCCATCCCCAGAATGACTGAGATCAATTGAGGTGCTCTCATGGGCAGGCTCTATAGGTTATGAAGGTGTTTTGCAGAGGGTCTTACCAACAGAGCATCCTTTTCTATAGATTGTTCTCATCAGAGCCCTTGATTTTGCCAGTTTTTGCTTCACTTTGAGGTAAGCCTGTAGAACTTTTATCTCCAACCAATGGATGAAAAAGATTGACAAAAGGTAGATTTCATCACTCTCTACACAGGTAGTAATTTTTTTTGTCATGGTTGCGTTGTAGCATCTATGATTTAACAATCAAGAGGTGAAGCATTCAGGGCTAGCAGGTCATTTTTTTTTACCTACTTTCCTCCTGGTTTTCTGGTAGGCAAATAACAGAAAATAATGTGATTGTAAAAGCAAAAATCTGGTGTATGCCCCTGACCACAGCAACTGCAAGGAGGCACACAGCTTCAAACACAGACACCTATTCTCTCTCCATGAGCTGCTAGCATCTGTCACTGGGTTGCAGCAAGCAGCAAGTATCAAAAGACCAATAAATCACCCTTACCTCAACACAGGCAGAGAGGGCACCTGTTAGAACTCAGTTGAGTTTCTATCCTCCCGTCCCTTTCTTTGAAGGCTTGAAGAGATATTATCAATTAAAGTCTGTGTGGAGAGAAATAAACATTGAAACATCAGACACATAAGTTGACAGCCAAGTGCAGTGCTGTCATTTTACCATGTTTTAGAAAGCAGCAGCTCAACATTGTGAGGGTCAATAAAACAAATTTTCCAAGCTAGTCACTGCTTTTATGAACAAGAGCCTAGCTTTGCAGCATGCATTGGAAGGATTTGATCATGGCTCAGAAGCATGAAAACAAGGAAGTATGTCAGATCCAAATTTGATCTCCTTCACAATTACGATCACAGGGATCGCTGTCCTCGAGCTATACTGGATCCTTTAAGCTGATCGCAACTCAGCGCTCCAACAGAAAGTAGAAGTCTCTGCAAATAGACACACGACAGGAGTTCTTGTTGACCTCACTTTTAGATCAGTATCATCTCTCCATTCATCCTCATTTTCACAGTATCAGCTCCCACATATAAAAGTGACAATGATGGTATGATCACGTATGAAACATATGTATACCTTTAGTTCGGACTGGTGCACCAGTTATTTTTCTATCCTCACCTCTAAAATCCAGTTATTTGAATCTTTGCTCCTGAGGCAGTGATTTTTGGAAAAGGATATTCAACAAGTCACTGCGACTGCCTCTTCCTTTTCTGAAAACCAGCATGGATTTCTTTGCATCACGATGGTGTGCGTCTCAGCTGCCCTGTTAAATCCCTGTTAGTCATTTCCACACCCAAAGCAACACCCAAACAACTAGGGGAGCCCCCCTGCAAGCCATCAAGAAGGGTAAGAGGCTTCGAAAGCCCCCTCAAAGAGAACAGCAAGTAAAAGTTCTACTAAATGTATAGGCTAAGATTTTTGAAAACAGCTCTACGTAGTACCTCCAGAGGAGCCGTGCTTTCAACATGAGATTAATCAGTAAAGTCTGAAAAGCAATCTTCTTTTAAAAGCATCTTCAATTGATCCCTCAAAAATCACTAGTCATTCAGAAATCTGGGACTCCTGTGCTACAGTATCTTGCATCAAACAGCAGACCCCTCTGGCAATGAGCAGATTTTAAAGAGAAACATTTGCTAAATGCTGTTTGGGACCGACTGCACCCACTGTAAATGAAAATCCATAGCTGTGTCACAGGTTTATTCATTCCTATGAGGGTCTTCAGAGAAAGCCAAATAGCTCGTTTAAAAAGGCTGACAAAGTTACTCATTAAAAGAAATTTTTCCCCTCTAAAGTTAAGTTGGAGCCAAAGCAAGCAGACAGCAACTTGTCTTCCTACCTTGTGGTTGGATTGTCCTGCTCCTCTTCCTCACACTTATCTTGATCAGGGAGCTGGAAAGACACCCATAGTTGAACCAGTGATTTCAACATGAGTCCCACTCACTTCTCTTTTTAGTATTGATGGGGCTGCTCAGGAGGCTGGGTCAAATGACTGTGCAAAACCAGGCTGTGCTTGCTGCAGTTTAGCAAGTCATAAGAGAAAAAAAAAGCCAAAGGAGGCTGTAGCATAATAACGGAAGGCAGTTTCATAATGCCCTTAGAATA